CGCTCTCTCTCTCTCTCTCTCTCTCTCTCTCTCTCTCTCTCTCACACACACACACACACACACACACAAACATACACACATACACACACAGAGACACACAAACACACATGCACACACTAGGGTCTTTGCACAGGACTCTCACACTCAGTGACCGTTTGCTCTCGCAAAACTAAGAAGCTAGACAGAGAATGCAAGATGGATCTCAATCTTTTCATACTCTTCTGAAATGTTGTCTGCTGGCATGTATGTTCTAGAGAAGATTCCATAGGTCATGCCGAACTCGAGAGAAGGAGCATATGTAGGGCATGAATAAAAGAGGCAGAGATCATTGGGGACCATCCAGAAGCTGGTAAGCATTCCCAGATATGCTTACTGTTGTTCTTTTTCCTCCTTTTGGTCTCTGTTCAGATATCATTTTATCAGAACAACTCTATATAAACCAGCATGTGTTACATCTTTTAAAAAAAATTAATCATTCCTATTATTATTATTATTATTATTATCATTTATTACAAGTTATTCAATTTGTATACCAGCTGTGGTCCCCTCCCTCATCTTCTCCCAATCCCACCCTCTTTCCCTTTTCTTCCCCTATGTCCCTCTCTTAGTCAACTGATAGGAAAGGTGTTCCTCCTTTTCTATCTTACCCTAGACTATCAGTTCTCATGAGAAGTAGTTGCATTGTCTTCCTCTGTGCCCTGGAAAGGCTGCACCCCTCAGCAGAGGGGGATCAGAGAGCCTGCCACTGAGTTCATGCCAGAGACAGGCTTTTCCTTTCTGATTTTGCTGATTTTGGATAGTTTCTTTCTGCCTTTTAGTTAGCTTGGCTAACGGTTTGTCTATCTTGTTGATTTTCTCAAAGAACCAGCTCTTGGTTTCATTGATTCTTTGAATTGTTTTATTTGTTACTAATTGATTGATTTCAGCCCTGAGTTTTATTATTTCCAACTGTCCACTCCTCTTGGGGGTTTCTGCTTCTTTTTCTAAGGCTTTCAGGCGTGTGATTAAGTTCCTTGTATGTGATGTATTAAACTTCTTTCTGAAGACACTTAGTGCTACAAGCTTTCCTTCTAGCACTGCATTTATTGTGACCCATAAGTTTGAGTATGTTGTGCCTTCATCTTCATTGAATTTCTGTAAGTCTCTAATTTCTTCCTTGACCCAGATGCCGTTTATTAGAGAGTTCTTTAGTTTCCATGCATGTGTAGGCTTTTTGATATTTTGTTGTTGAAGTCTAATTTTAGGCCATGATGGTCTGCTATAATACTTTTTATTATTTACAAGTAGATTATTTTAATCTACTTGTATCTGTTGATGCTTGATTTGTTCCCGACTATATAGTCAATTTTGGAGAAAGTTCCATGGGAACTGAGAAGAAGGCATACTCTTTTGAGTTTGGGTGAAAGGTTCTGTAGACATCTATTAGGTCTATTTGACTTTGGAACTCTTTAAATGACATTATTTCCCTATTTAGCTTCTGTCTAGATGACATGTCCCTTGGTGAGAGTGGAGTGTTGAAATCTCCCTCTATTAAGGTGTTAGGATCAATGTGGGATTTTAGCTTTAATAATGTTTCATTTACAAATGCAGGTGCTCCTTTATTTAGGGTATAGATGTTCAGGATGGTGATTTCCTCTGGGTGGATTTTTTCTATCATGAGAATGAAGTATCCCTCCTCATCTGTTTTGATTAATTTTGGTTGAAAGTCTATTTTATTAGATATTAGGATAGCTACTCCAGCTTGTTTTCTGTGTCTGTTTGCTTTAAAAATTTTCCAGCCCTTTTCTCTGAGGTACTTTCTATCTTTATTACAGAGGTGTGTTTTTTTTTTGATGCAACAGAATGATGGATCCTGTTTTCCACAACCATTCTGTTAGTCTTTGTCTTTTTTTATTGTAGAGTTAAGTCTATTGGTCTTGATAGATAATAGTGACCAATAAATTATAGTTCCTTTTAGTGTGGAGTTGGTAGTGATAGTGTGTTCATGTGCTTGTTTTCTTTTGATTTTGTTTTTGTTGTTGTTGTTATTGTGAAGTTATCTATGACCTGTGTTTTCTTGTGGGTAGTTGATTTCATTAGATTGAAGTTTTCCTTCTAATATCTTCTGTAGGCCTGGATTGCTTTGTAGGTATTGTTTAAGTTTAGTTTTGTCATGGAATATTTTTGTTTTCTCCATATATGTTGATTGAAAGTTTTCCTGGGTTATAGTAATCTTGTTTGATATCTGTGTTCTTTTAGAGCCTGCATGACATCTGTCAGGCCCTTCTGGCTTTCATAGTTGAGAAGTCTGGTATTATTATGATAGGTCTATCTTTGTATGTAACTTGGTCTCTTTCTCTTTGCTGCTTTTAATAATTTTTTCTTTGTTCTGTAGATTTAGTGTTTTGACTATTATGTGATGTGAGGTCTTTTTTTTTTTCTGGTCTAGTTCATTTGGCATTCTGTAAGCCTCTTGTATGTTTAAGGACACCCCTTTCTTTAAGTTGGCAAAATTCTCTTTTATAATTTTCTTGAAAACATTTTCTGGACCTTGGAACCTAGACTCATCTTTTTCATGGATTCCTATTATGCTTTGTTGTATTTGACTCATGGTGGACTTGCTTTCTTGGATGTTTTGTATTGTAACCTTTCTAATTTTATTTGTTCTTTAAGAGATTTATCAGTTTGTGCAATTGTATCTTCAGCACCTGAGATTCTCTTTTCTATCTTTTGTATTCTGTTGGTGATGCTTACCTTTGTGGTTCCTGATCTCTTCTGTATGTTCTCCAGCTCCAGGGTTATGCACTCCTCCCCCAAACACAGCTGCAGCCACTGCTGCTGGAGTAAGTGAAGGTACAACAGAAATTTCAGGGAATCAATAATTGGCCATTCTTAGACCTTGAAGACATCTACAGGGAGGCTGGATCCAATCTATTCCAGCTTACCAGTTGTCCCTTCTAGCCCAGGACGCCTCAAAGTTGATATGCTGGCTTTAGCTAATGTGTTCCACCTTCTAAAGCAGGTTTTTTTTTTACACCACTTTGTAGCTTATATGTATTGGTTAATTTAAATGTCATCTCTCAATACTATATAAATGTCATAATAACTGAAGCTCTATGTTATTCACTACTATATTCTCAGATCCTAAAACAGTGCTTGGCATATAGCAAACACTGGTCAAATAGTTGCTGAATAAAGGTACAACATGTAATCCATAAAAGCAGTTATAGAAGTAAGTAGTTCCATAATTGAATAGGCAAATCTGTAAGTCAGTAATATCATTAAGAATTTATATTCTTTCTATCCTTTTGCACCACAATCTTTTGGTTGTTACCATTGCTATCACCTCAACCTTACCCAAACTAGTTAACTCATAGTCTTAAGGAAGATGTTGGAGATCACAGAATCAAATATTTCCTAGACATCATTCAAAGCCAAGGAGCAAGAGGTCAACCAGAGCAAAGAAAGGAGTTCCTTTTCCAAATTCTTCCCTTTTATGTGAAGGTAAAATATACTTCCTAGAAGCCGCACCATAGACTTTCTCTTAAAGGGCATTATTCTAAAACCAGATCACATGTGTAAGACGAACGTAAAGGAAGGCAGGAAAGTAAGATTCTGGTCACCTTGTCTTCTACAGTGAGAAAGGAAATGGGCACAAGGAAATATCTTTCAGGAGTGAACAAAGAGTTGATACCATTATATCTTACCTGATGAAAACATTTCTAAACATTGAATCAGTGGAAGAGATATATAGAAAACCTTTGCAAGGGTTACACAGCTTCTCAGTAACTGATAACCATAACGGATATCTCACAACGTAAGTGAACCTGCTATAAGCACTGAGGAACATTTTCCCTGGCTGTAAAGGAAACCCTCTCATGAGTTGCTGGCAGAATTTCTATCTACTAATTTTGCTTACAGCACAGGCTTTATAATTAAATTATTCATCATTTGAGTCTCTGGTGTTAGAAGACTACACATGAAGGTAGAAGTTGTCATTGGCAGAATTTTAATAAGGTTCTTCATTCAAAAACTTCAAAAGTATCAATTACATTCAGTTCTTGGTTTTATTCATCACCTCCATAACTGTTGATACCAACAGAAATGGAAATATAAATATGGGGACCAGTAGACTTTCCTGCAAAATGAAGCTGGCATCCTAGAAGGTGATAGGTGATAGTGTAGCTGAGTGGGTTATAGTTTGTGAATAAACCCTTTGAATCTATCCCTTCCCCATTGTTCTGTTAGGCTCTTACTGTTCTCATCTACTTGTGAGGTCTTTTGAACATTTCTGAACTCAGTCCTGTCTCTACCTTCTGCATTTCAAACCTGTCTTCCAAATTATTTGTCACAGAAAAGGGTTTAATTGTTATATTCTAAAATATGTCTTTTTATAGCTTCTGGGTGATGTTCTCAAACTCTAACTTCCTAGGATTTCAACCTATTGAATGTCACACAGCATAATCAGAACAGTTTCCCAACCTTAGTCAGTAAAGGGCCCAGACTGTCAGGCAAATGCTCATCACACTACTTATTTTGACCACACTCTTAAGCACTTCATCTCTTGTACAGATTCTTTTTCTGTAGTAGGTCCTGATCAGCTCACTGCAGACTGGTCAAAGAGTCAGACATTGCTTCTTATAGTCTTCATACTGACTATAATTCTATGCAAAGATTAACATTGTAAACTTACAGTATATTTAATGCAGTTCTACTCAAGACCAATGTGGTGGTTTGAATAAAAAAGGCTCTCATAGGCACATAGAGACTGGCACTATTAGGAGGAGTGGCCTTGTTGGAGGAAATCTGTCACTGAGGGTGGGCTTTGAGATTTCAGAAGTTCAAGCCAGGCCAGATAGCTCACTATCACTTTCTGCTGCCTGTGGATCCAGATGTAGAGCACTTAGTTACTAACCAAGCATTATGTCTGTCTACATGTTCCCATGCCTCTCATTGTGACATTACGGACTAAACCTCTGAACTGTAAGCCAGTGCCAGTTAAATATTTACTTTTATAAGAGTTGCTTCCTTCAGCAGCACATATACTAAAATTGGAACCATACAGAGAAGATTACCATGGCTCCTGCATAAGGATGACACACAAATTTGTGAAGCATTCCATGTTTTTAAATTGATACATTCCTGTCTCGTCCAGCGGGAGTTAAACAGATTCCTAAGGAGGGGCGTAAAGAATGGGATAGGACAGAGACAGGAAGAATGGAGACCAAGTCAGTTTGTCGGATCAAGCCCTCATTTATTTGAAATTTTTACACAACTTATATAGGGAGAAGGCAGGAAAGGGGGAGGTTAATTTACTGCTGCAGAAGATAGCAAGAGTGCTTTCATGGCTTGAATATTGCACCTGCAAGATACCGTAAAGATGTTTACTTAAGATATTTCAAGGATGCTCCAAGACTAACAAGCGGATGTTCTCACACAAATCTATCACCTATGACCTAGGTTCTTAGTGCAACTGTTGATAACTTTTCCAATAATTGGCTTTGTCTCCACTAAATGGCCTTTGCTCACTATTTGGCTTTGGCTTCAGTAAATAGCTTTGTCTCAACTAAATAGCTGTGGCTCCTAGCACATTTCTCAAAGAAAAAAAAATAAAATGAGAATGGTTACAAATACAAAACATCCAAGAAATCAAGAAAACCATGAGAAGACAAAACCTGAGAATAATAGGAATATACAAAAAAGAAGATTCCAGGTTCTAAGATCCAAAAAATAGTTTTGAGAAAAATTGTAGAAGAAAATTTCCCCAACCTTAAGAAAACCTTACAAAAACATAGTGTAAAGCTGTATTTACTTAATTTTTAAGTTTTTTTAGTATGTAAAATGATGGAATTTTCTTGTTCTGTTGCTTTCCTTGTGGAGTTCCTGTCCTCTCCAGCTCTTACTATTTCCCACTTCTTACATATAAATCCATTCACTCTGCCTGTCAGTTGGCCATCAGGCTCAGCATGTGCTTTGACAGTCTGCATGGCAGAGGCTTTCAGAGGCCCTCTGTGGCAGGTTCTGAGGTTGTTTCCTGTTTTCTTCTTCTGGCTTTCAGAGGCCCTCTGTAGCAGGTTCCTAGGTTGTTTCCTGTTTTCTTTTTCTTCTGATGTCCATCCTCTTTGTCTTTCAGGATGGGGATTGAGCATTTTTAGTTAAGGTCGTGTCTTTTGCTTAATTTGTTTAGATGTTCAGATATTAGTGGGTTTATTCTATGTTGTATGTTTATATGAGTGAGTATATACCGTGTGTGTCTTTTTGCTTCTGAGACAACTCACTCAGGATGATCCTTTCCAGGTCCCACCATTTACCTGCAAATTTCATGATTTCCTTATTTTTTTTTTGAGATTCATATTCTTTATCTATATTTCTTTTTTAAATTTTTTATTAATTACACTTTATTCATTTTGTATCCCCCCATAATCCCCTCCCTCCTCCCCTCCCGATCCCACCCTCCCTCCCCTTTCTGCATGCATGCCACTCCCCAAGTCCACTGATAGGGGAGGTTCTCCTCTCCTTTCTGATCTTAGTCTATCAGTTCTCATCAAGATTGGCTGCATTGTCCTCTACCGTGGCCTGGTAAGGCTGCTCCCCCCTCAAGGGGAGGTGATCAAAGAGCAGGCCAATCAGATTATGTCAGAGGCAGTCCCTCTTCCCATTACTATGTAACCCAGTTGGAGACTGAACTGCCATGGGCTACATCTGTGCAGGAGTTCTAGGTTATCTCCACAAATACTCCTTGGTTGGAGTATGAGTCTCTGGGAAGTTCCCTGTGTTCAAATTATCTTGTTCTGTTGCTCTGCTTGTGGAGTGCCCGTCCCCTCCAGCTCTTACTCTTTCCAACTTCTTACATAGAATTCCATTCACTCTGCCCATCAGTTGGCCATCAGGCTCAGCATCTGCTTTGACAGTCTATACTGCAGAGGCTTTCAGAGGCCCTCTGTGGCAGGTTCCTGGGTTGTTTCCTGTTTTCTTCTAGCTTTCAGAGGCCCTCTGTAGCAGGTTCCGAGGTGGTTTCCTATTTTCTTTTTCTTCTGATGTCCATCCTCTTTGCCTTTCAGGATGGAGATTTAACATTTTAGTTAGGGTCCTCTCTTTTCCTTAGTTTGTTTGGATGTACAGATTTTAGTGGGTTTATTCTATGTTGTATGCTTATATGAGTGAGTATATACCATGCCTGTCTTTTTGCTTCTGGGACAACTCACTCAGGATGATCCTTTCCAGGTCCCACCATTTACCAGCAAATTTCATGATTTCCTTATTTTTCATTGCTGAGTAATACTCCATTGTATAGATGTACCACAGTTTCTGCATCCATTCTTCAGTTGAGGGGCATCTGGGTTGTTTCCAGCTTCTGGCTATTACAAATAAAGCTGCTGCAAACATGGTTGAGCAAATGTCCTTTTTGTGTACTTGAGCCTCTTTTGGGTATATGCCTAGGAGTGGTATGGCTGGATCTTGAGGAAGCGCTATTCCTAGTTGTCTGAGAAAGCGCCAGATTGATTTCCAGAGTGGTTGTACCAGTTTACATTCCCACCAGAAGCGGAGAAGGGTTCCCCTTTCTCCACAACCTCTCCAGCATGTGTTGTCCCTTGAGTTTTTCATCTTGGCCATTCTGATGGGTGTAAGGTGAAATCTCAGGGTTGTTTTGAAGGCACATATCTAAACATAGTAAAGGCGATATACAGCAAGCCTATAGTCAACATCAAACTGAACGGAGAGAAACTTAAAGCAATCCCACTGAAATCAGGGACAGGACAAGGCCGCCCACTCTCTCCATATCTCTTCAACATAGTGCTGGAAGTCCTTGCTAGAGCAATAGGACAGTTGAAGGAGATCAAGGGGATACAGATTGGAAAGGAAGAAGTCAAATTATCACTATTTGCAGATGATATGATAGTATACATGAGTGACCCAAAAAACTTTACCAGGGAACTCCTATAGCTGATAAACACCTTCAGCAAAGTGGCCGGATACAAAATTAACTCAAAAAAAAATCAGTAGCACTCCTGTATACAAAAGACAAAAGGGCTGAGAAAGAAATTAGAGAAACAACACCATTCACAATAGCCACAAATGACATAAAGTACCTTGG